CCGTTCTTCTCAGGGAGGGACGCAGACTAGACAGGAGAGAGCGGCGGAAATCGAGCCTACTCTTGTTGGGTAACAGCTGCATGAATAATTAATCAGTTTGAGAAGATGTAATAAATGTCGCTTGCAAACAACCCCCTTGAAGGTAAACTCGCCAAACAAGCAGAAGCAATAAGAAACTATCAAAAACAGGTTTTGGTTATGATTAAGCATTGTTTGAGAAATTCACAAATTAACTCGTTACCAGAGTAGAGAGTTTTCTTGCTATCTTTTTAGGTCAGAACAAATGTAAAAACATATGCGTAAGCTTACAACTAGCGCGATCAGATCTTATTATTCCAGTCACAGCGTGAAATTGAGGTCTTGTTTTCGACCCTGAAAACTCACCTTTTCCATAAGCTCAGAGAATACAACTACATATAAGTGCCCTGGTTCTTAGTCCCTGCCAGGAGGTCCCTCCTGGTCCCTGCCTTATTCCCTGTCATCGCTGTGAAAAATCCGCAAGCCGGAGAATCTCGCAACTCTCACCATTTGATCACGTAATGTGACAACATCCACGCGAGAATCCACGACATGTGCGTGGATTCGCGCGGATATCTGTCGTCAGGATGGTGCAATTTGTTCTAAAAATAGCAAAATTGTCGGGCCATATCATAGGTACGCGCGGATCCCAAGACTTACGGTCTTCGTCCCCGATTTAAAGGATACAACGGCAAAAAAAGAACTAGAAACTTAAAAAATTAGCCGTCGTCGTTCACGTTCTCCAGACAACGCAGAATAAATTTGGTCATTTTGTGTTATTGTTTTGCAGAGTTCGGCAAATAATTGTACTAAGAATTATAACGCACGTGCACAACCATGGTTCCGCTCATATAAGCGACGTACCCGTTCTACCTCAGTAAGCATATATAGATTGTGCTTTAAAGTGTTGGAAACGCTGCTAAACTGACCGGGGTCAAAAGTTGCTCAAACGATGTCCAAGAATGGCTAAAGCTACTCAAAAACCTCAAAACGTTGTATATCAACAATTCAACATGCGCCACAATCTGTTATATTTGATGGGATATTACTTTCTTGACCCGAAATTCAAAAGGAAGTTTACTTCACAGTGATACGTGTATCTTAGTGAGCAACCGCTGGAAATGACCCAAGGTTTGTGGACGTGTGGCCTCTGTCCTGTTCGTGGGCGCAAGGGCTACCGAGTCAAAAACAAAGCGAAACGCCTTTCACCTCATCAGCTGAGATTGTACTGGATATGTTCTGAAAAAATGTGAAAATTCATTTCGAGTTCAAAAGCTTTACAAAAGTTGCCCAAATGTTGTTCAAAGTTGTGCACAAAACAAAAAGTTGCTGAAGTTGCCGTGCACAATTTATATTTAATACTTATTCCACGAGCGCGCCTTGAGCATGAGATGATAGATAGCCAACAAGGCGCGCAGCGTGTGTTTAGAATAAAATTGTTAAAGATTAATTAATAAAATACGAAAAAAAATAATAATCCAATGATTCAGTTTTTAATAAATGCCTATACAACAGAGCTTACACAGAGCTACATTAATACTCTTGCGCCTTTTTATGTGGATATTGATTCTTTTCTCTTCTGTTCTTTCCCAGTACAGTTCTTTACTCCTCATGACTTCTGGTATGTCAGCGGCCGGTGATGGACAAACACTGTCCCCCAGTCCATGGACTCTTTCAATGGACTACCCTAAAATGGACTACCCCTGAAAATACTGTTCTAAATTAGTACTATTTAATGTTCTAAGTTGCCAGTATACTTAAATTACAAGTAACTTCTGCTTATGTTCATCCCGCAAAGCCTCTAGCCACCATTTTGAATAACTGTGCTTAATAAACAACTGATGAACACAAAATGATCCAAAAAGCATAAACTCAAATGAAGTTTAATCATTTGATCATCAATCAGCTGTACTAATCAGTATCAGGATCATACTTTAAATTCTGTAAACATAATAACTTGAGAAGACATGACAGTATTGAAGTGTGAGTGAGGAACACAACCAAATATTTGGTATAGGAATAGCACAATTTAAATGTAAATGTCACGCAGTGATTGTCAATCTTGTTCCATGCGATTCAGTCAGCCACAGTACATGCACAAGGTAAAAGATGACAAGATAGGAGATGCCAAGAATAATGGCTGAATAGTTAAACTTTTAGGAACAATTCATTTTTTAATGATTAAGACCATTTTTGACATAAATATCAAGGTAATGAACATTCAGTTCCTTATCCATCTATAAATGGCCATTACATGTAATCCTGTTCCAAAATAAGTTTGCAAGCAAACAGCCTGAGTCGGAATGTTTATAATGCATTTGAGAAAAAGAAAGGTTGCTGGCAGCAAAAATTAAATGGAATAGCCAAATTTTGCAGTGGCAGGTCCAAGGGGCATTCACAAGGGGGGTGGAAGGTAGGGGGGTGGGAGAGAATTTTGGTCCTTAGAATAATTTTCAACTCTAAAGTAGGGTGGGGGGCTGCATTACTAGAACTGGATCTTGAGTTTTTTATGTTGCAGAGCAATGAGAAGACATAAGTTTGCTCGTAGACACCAGAATAACGAGTTTTCTCACACACCATTGGTAGCATATCAAGCTGACCGCCATTTTTTCACTTATTTCGTTACACTCAGCCAGTGAAAAATTACTCTTAAGTGAGGCTATCCCGAGCCTGGTCAGCCTGGAACATTGCAAACAACACCCGTAACTAAGTCATAGTAGTACTGAACATTAGGGCCGGAATCTACTTGTCTATTTTGTGTTCAGTGGTTCCAGAACAAAAATAAGCAAGGTATAGCAGCTTAGAACTTTAAATTTTAGGGGTAGTACATTTTAGGGTAGTTCATCTGCATAGTCCATTGGGGTAGTCCATGGACTGGGGGTCAATGTTTTGTCCATCACCATCAGCGGCCTATTCACGGAAATTCAATGTTGCTGGTAGAGCTCAATTTTGATTCCAGATTCCGCACGTTTTCAATCTGGGCTG